TGATGAATTGATCATGTATATTCATTTGGCTGTATGAAATATATATGGAGCTAGTCGCATCTGCAAATATTTATGTGAAATTGATAATTTTTCAAGTGACAATTTTCAGAAGTAATGATTGCACTTTGTCTTTGGCTTTGTTATTTTTTGATTCGACATCAATTTTAAAACTAGCCTTTTGTTTATCATAGTCTATGTAAAGTAAACGATAGAAATTTTTAAAAAATTAGAAAAATAATCGTTTTTTGGTAATCAAAGAATAATTTTTTCATAATATGAAGGGTTGAATCATTTTAATTTCATCACTGAATACAAATAAAGCACACGTTTTTTTAAAAATATAAAAGTAAAATAAAATAAAACCAAATAAAGTCGCAAGAAGATTGATGTCATTGTGAATTCAATAATCATATATCAGATACGATTATTATATACATTCTTGAATCGAATTCTTTTTTTATTGCATCATCGCGCAAGAAACTATATTAGACTTTGTTCCACAATATTCAGATCTATTTTAAAAAACCCAAGCCAAGAATTATATAAATATCTACATCTTATAGATTTAGCTTTTTTGAAAATTCGTAGTGTTCTTTTTTAAATACTTTTCTGAAAGTTGATTGCTTTTGTGTATTGTATATTACAACGACTGCTACATTACTGATCCCCTTTTGTAAAATATTAAAAGTTGCGTTATTTTTTAGATGTAATACAAGTAACGTTCATCGACATTGAATGTCGATTCACTTGTCCCTAGGCTGACGGAATGATGACAAAGATGTCCTTATATTTTAAAATAAAAATGAATTCTGTATAATGATGAGTTTAGGAGAAATTATTAATATTTGTAACATTTTCTATATTACATACTATACATGTATTCAAATAGTTCACAAAAAATATTAAAAGATGCTAATGTATAGGAAAAAGTTTATGCTTTATTTAATTATAACGACTAACATGGTGATTTATGTCAAAGCAATGGCCATTTCTAATACGGACGTTGCCAATTGTGACACAGACATAATCATTTGAGCCATAAGAATGGTCACCTGTGCCATAGAAATGGTTGATTGTGCCATGAAAATACTGAATTGAGCCATACAAACGGTCGTCTGTATAATGAAAATGGGCAATTGTGTCAAATAAATGGTCCCCTGTACCACCAAAACGGTACTTTTGTACTATGAAAATGGTCAGCTGTACCACGACTATGGTACTTTGTACCACAAAAATGGTCACTTGTACCATTACTATGGTACTTTGTACCACGAAAATGGGTACTTGTACCATTACTATGGTACTTCGTACCACGAAAATGGTCACTTGTACCATCACTATGGTACTTTGTACCATGAAAATGGTCACTTATACCATCACTATTTTTTCGTGTTCTCCACAAACTTCACATGGAGAACTCAAACTCAATGAAGCACAAAGACTTTCTACATTACTTCTGTGTCTTCCATACATGCGCGCGAAAACGATACCATGGTTTACGATAAAACAGGTCTTGGTCAGTGGACTCGTAATTTGCGTTAAAAAAGCTTTTTTGTACCTTGGAAATGGTGATTTGTGCCATAAAAATGGTGATTTGTGCCATGGAAATGGTCATTTGTACCAAGCGCTTGTTACAGACAGACAGACAGACGGACAAGCAGATACAGGTGAATTTCGGTTTCTAGACCCTTGCCTTTCAGTCTAGGGAACAAGTTTCTTGTATTAAGGCATATAAGAAACTAAATTCATACGTTTTGTCTTCTTATAAAACTCATCATCGTCATTATAAAGTCGAATATTATATAGATGTATTTATTTCTTCTTTTATTACGTTTAGTGCAAAGGGAATACGTCTAAACAACAAACAGCTGAAATGAAAAAAATAAAGAAGGGATGATATAGCACTGTTATAGTAATTATTGATTTGATATTATCAGAAGAGTATTCAACAATAACTTTATAAAATTTTTATATCACAACATTCGTCTACGTAGTTTAACTTTATAAATTATAATTTATTTTAAATGAAACGTTTTACGCAGATGATTCATTTGAGAAAATTGCTATATTTCAGATTGTAATATAGAAACGAAACTATTCAAGCAAAAAATGAACACACGATGTATTTTTTGTTCTACATTGTGTGCGGGTTCTTCTTGTCCGCAATGTAACCAAATGAATCGTAGTCTCAAATTTACACGTTTACTTCAACTTTTGGAAATATGTTCTGAAAGTGTCCTGTACCATGATGAAATCAATTTTGTTGTGCAACGAGTTCAACAAGTGAGTTTATTTAGAATAATGATTAAATTATAATACGTAAAACGTTGTAGATTGAATCAATCAGGATACCACTTCAATTTTATCCTACTCAAGTTTTCAATGAGACAAAACATATAGTAGATGTGGTAGCTAAGGCATATCTTGAAAAAGCGACTGGCGATGTACATCATCTGATTCCGGTCGAAGTCATTGCGGATGGAAATTGTTTATACAATTCTATTGTTCTTCTGATGAATGATCCATCAGTAACAACGAGTGAATTACGAGGTATAGAAATTTATTTTTATTTTATACTATGGTATAATTTTTTTTAAAACAATTTTTAGTTCGTACAATTATTGAACTTGTAAAAAAGGAAAATTATTATCAAAATATATATTCACAATACATCGAACCTATCGATATAGCTATCAAAGCTATGTGCAAAAATTATACGTATTCTGAACTATACGAAATAGTCGCACTCTGCAATGTACTTCAATGTAACATACAAAGTGTTCATCCAAAAATTGATTTTCAACATTATATGGCAATTTTCAATAACGTATTTAAACCTGTTTCACCAATTATTGCTAATTGTAACATTGCAATTTTATGGTCACACGCCTTGAATGAAAAAGACGCACGAGAGACGAATAATGGCACATGGAGTCCGAATCATTTTGTTTCACTTATGTCGCCATCTATTCGTAATGAATTTACCAACATTAATCAATCAACACTAATTGTTGTGGTAAGCTATTTATCTGTAAATGAGAGCTCGTAAATTTGTAAATCTTTCTTTAGACTCCTGAAAAGAGAACGTATAAAAATAAAGCTGGTACTCAAGTAAGAATTCCTGAGTTTCAATCTTCTCCTAGTAAACGCTTACGAAGTGAAGAAAACATCGAAAATGACACCACTCAACCAATTACTTCAAGCTCAATACAGAAGAAAACGAATGACAAAGAAGAAAAACGTCAGCTTCTACTTGAAAAGAAAAGACAACGCAGTCGATCTAGTCGTATGAACGAAACAGAAGAACAACGTCAAATTCGACTTCAGAAAAAAAGAGAACAAACTCGATCGAGTCGAATGAATGAACCAGAAGAGCAACGTCAGAATCGACTGCAAAAACTAAAAGAACGAAATATATCCAGTCGAGCAAATGAAACAGAAGAGCAACGTCAGAATCGACTTGAAACCCTCAATGAACGAAGTACATCTAGTCGAGCAAATGAAACAGAAGAACAACGTCAGATTCGACTCGAGCAGCAAAGAAAGCGAAGTCAAATGAATAGAGATGACAAGAAACGTACGCAAAGGACATTAGGCAATAGTGATATTCAACAAGAAAATAATTCCATTCGTCCACCTTGGCCCGAACCAATTCCTCGTGATTTAAAAGAAACTCGTTTACAACAGTTTTTAGAACAGATGTCTATGTCAGTACTGGCTGAAGCTACTTGTGCAGTTTGTAATATTCGTACCACAACAAAAGATTCGAAGAAAATACCAATTTCAAAAATTCCTAATATT